CCCCCCAGGCCATCGAGATCGTCATCCAGAACAACCGCGCCGGCGTCTCTGGCGGCGAGTACCCCTCGAACAGCTCCCTCACCTACCCCCGCAACTCGAAGGAGCAGCACCCCTTCCACCTCCACGGCTTCCACTTCTGGATCGTGGGCATGGGGCTCGGGGAGTGGACGGCCGACAAGGAGGCGGGGTACAATCTGAAGAACCCCGGGCTCAGGGACACCGCAACGGTGCTGTTCCAGGATACCGGGGACAAGGTCGGATGGGTGGCCCTCCGCTTCGTCGCAAGCAACCCAGGTGCGTTTTTCCCAACTCATGGCTGGGAAAGTCAGATTAGTCGTGCCTCCGCAGCGCCACCGGCTGGCACACCGTACTCGTACCTGCCGTGCCCGGAGAGCTCGGGGCGGGGCGCACTGCAAGGGGCTGCAGGCTGGGCTGACGCGCGTCCGCTCGTGGCGCCTCCGAGCCTCCCCTTCGTTGGGCTACCCGTGACTCGCGTGCGTCGACCCAGAGCCATAGACTGCCTTTGCAGACCCCCAAACAGCGCAGCCCCTTCACCCGACCCCTGTGGCTGACACCGCCCCCTCCGCCCTGCGCACCGGTCCCCCTCTCCCCAGGCGTCTGGCCGCTGCACTGCCACATCGCCCCGCACGCGTACATGGGCCAGGCCGTCAACCTCGTCGTGGCCCCAGAAAAAATCGGGGCGCCCCCCAAGAACATGCCCAAGTGCCCCAAAACCTGCACCTACCAGATGGCGCAGTGGACGACCCCGCTTACGCAGAAGGCCTGGGGCGGCAACAAGCTGCTTGCGCCACCCAAGGCCAACGGGGCGCCCTACGGCGCCGTGCCGTCCGAGGGGCGCTGATCGGCGCCCTCTGCAAAGAAACGCCCGCTTTGCGCTCGCGGGATGTTTTTCGGACCTTGAATTTGCTGGTCAATCTGCAACCTTTGATGCAGATCCTGTTCTGTCTCAAGTCCCCTTCCCGTCCTACCTGCTCAAACGCAGACTTTAGTTGATTGAATCCCTCGTTCACCGCTCCGCCGGCCCCGGCAGCCCCGCAGAGCCCCCGTGTGGCCGCGGGGCGCGGGGCCGGCGGCTGCAGGCCACTCCTGAAATCACGGCCCCTTGACTGCGCCCCGCTCGGGGCAGCCCCAGCTTGCGGGGGCACGTCCGCTGCCCTTAGGCCTGGCCGGCCTGCTCTCTGAGGGCGGGCTTGTGAGTGCGCATGCGGAGATCTGGCATGATCTAGCCTCATATCGTCCGAGTCGGCTCGTTTCACATCGTACTTTGGCACACACAAGTCATAACGCTCTCACCATCTCCAATCAGGATTCAAGTCCCACCTGTGGCATACAGACAACAACACGGCAACCGCCGCATGCCCCTCGCAACTGCGACATCCTTCGTGATCCCATTTGCCGCGCTGACGCCCGCAGGCGGCGGCTGTGCGCGCTTGAACCTCAATGGCTCGATCTGAAGCGATCTGGCTCGATCTGGCTTGATCTGCTGTCGGGCGCCTGGCCCTGCCTACCTGGCCTCCAGGCCCTTTTCTGCTTCCCCCCTCAACACCACAAAGGCCGGCTTGGGTGTCAAACCTCAATGGCAGCCTGGTCGCGCCCCAACCTGCGGACTGCCACCGCCCCCTTGGTTTTGCACGCGCCGCGCACGCTGCCGGCGCCCCCTTCCGGACTGCCCGCTCGCTTCACACGGCTTATGGCAATAAGGTTTCGCCCGTTCCTCTCGCACTGCTCAGTTGGACTCTCGCACACCCCCCTCCCCCCCCCCCGACCGCCGCGGGCGCGGTTTGGATTTCTTGCTTCCACGCCCGCGCGGCGCGGCGCCTTTTGTCTAGCTCCCCGTCGCCACATCGAGGCACGGTGCAATGCTGCCGGGCCGGCGGCTGCGCGTCAATTCTCATCAGGACGCCATGCGGATCTCTCCCAGGATCACCCCGGGGCACAGGGGTTTCCTTTGTTTTTGGCTGGACGCGTGCCATGCTGGCCGGTGGGATGGGTGCGCGGGTAGGGTTCCGGTTGTTTTCTTAGGGAATGCACCCCCCGCGGCGCCGGGGACAGGTTGGACGCCTCACGCACTTGCTTGCTGTTTTCATGCTCATGCTCTGCCGTTGCCGTTTTCAAGCCGCGCCTGCTGTCGTCGGCGCGCTTGCCATCACATCCAGGGGGGGGAAGGAGGGAAACAGGACGCACTGCATGCGACGCCGGCAACTGGCCGGGCTCTCTTGTTCACCCTCTGCGGCCGCCAAGGCAGAGGCGCTCAGGCAGGCATCCCGCGGCGTCGATGAGCACATACATGCACATAAAAGTCGGCGGCGCGCGCGACGCTGCGACGGCCGACTGCGCAAACGTTGTAAATCGGCGGCCCGCGATCATTCTCAGTGAAGCTTCAAGTGTGGCCGCGCTTTGAGCAACCGCCAAGACAGCGCCGCTCGGCCCCATAACCGGCCCTTCAACTTTGCACCCCAGCCGGCCCTGCGTGAGGCCTGATTTAATCACGCCCACGTGAGGCTGAACCTAAATGGTGCCGCGCACCGCAGACCGGCATGGCACCGCAGCTGTCGCGGGTGCGGCAGAGTCCACTGTCTCGCGCTCTGCAACACCGGGGCACCGCGGCCTGTTGTCTGCAGCTGGAGACAGGGCGCGATATGCTGGCGAGGCGAGCAGTTTGGGACAGTCAGCAGCGTCACTGCCTAGGCAGAGACGTGTGGGCGGCACCGCCCAGCACAGTTGCGCCCCGATGACGTCACCCTCCCCCCGATGACGCCACCCTGACTACTGGTGACCGTGAGTCGCACCAACTGCATCCCTACACCGACAGTTTGGTGCAACGTCTGACGTTTGTGTAGGGGGGCGATCATCTCGCACAACCTTGGCCAATTGCTTACAAACTACACAACCGTCCCTCAGTCCAGGAGCACAGATCAAACGGGCAATACAAGCGGCAATTAAGGAGTCTTGTTTTCAGCCACACACAGGGGCGTGCACACGTATGCACACACGCACAGTCAAACAAACCCAGCATGTCACAACAATGCTACGCCAGCCCAAAAGACCGACCACCAACAACACGCACGCACAATGATAAATTCCATACATGATCACGCACATGCACATCAAAACAGCACGGCTCGCCACAGCTGGATGCATGGCCAAGGGCCAAGCCTGCACGGGCCATCAGCCACTGCGCTTCGCCATCTCTCCCATCCAGGCGCGCGCCGCAGCGGCCTCCCCTGCCGCGCACGCAATCTGCAGCCGCCGGTAGGTGATGCCCAGGAACACGTGGCATGCGGCCGCATCCCGCGTTGTTGCTGCTTCCACTGCAGCACACACCACGCCCAGCTGCTCAGGACCCAGGCCCAGCGCCTCTGCCACCCTTACTACCCCGTCAAATGCCTCAGTGGCCGCCTCCGCCGCGGCGCCGCTATCGGATATGGGCGGCGCAGCGAGGCGCGGCAGGCCGAGGGCAATGAGCGCCGCCGACGCCGCGTCTTCATTGGATCCGCGGCTGTCCGCGCCGATAACGCTGGCAGGGGCGCCACCGGCCTGCTGCTGCAGAGCCACAGCCGCGGGCTTGGGTGGTACAAGGGCTGGTGGCGCCTGGCCTGCAAGCCCATCGGGCGCTGATGGGGCACTGCCGGGGCGCTCCTCCATAGCATGGGGCGCTGCAGCCGCGGCCGCGCCTGCCTGGCAGGGGGAGGCGGTGACACCTTCTTGCAGGCCGCTGCAGCCGCACGCCTCGGTCTGCGCCCTTCCTCTGCCCACGTGCACGGCTGCAGCTGTCATCTTGTCCGAGCTGGCCATGTCTGCAGCCGTCCGCGTGCTGCCATTGCCGGCTTTCCAAGCCGCCGAACCTGCCGCCACCTCCTCCTCCATTACCAGTTGCTGCTTGGTTTGCAACTGTGGCAGCAGATTAGGTGCAGCTGCCTGTGCGGCCAGTCCCGGCTGCTGCTGCTGCTGCTGCTGCTGCTGCTGCTGCTGCTGCTGCTGCTGCTGCTGCTGCCTCGGCTGCTCCCGCTGCGGCGCCCTCGGCGGCTGCTGCTGACCCGGCTGCTGCTGCCTCATTCGCTGCTGACGTGACTGCTGCTGCCGCATCTTTGGAAAGGGCTCTGCTCTCTTCCTGTCTCCAACCGCAATGTCCTGCTGCATGCTGCATTCCTTGTCCTCCCCATCCTCCTGCAGCTGGCCCTCGTGCACTGTTTGCTCGTCTTCTCCACAACACCCATGTCCTGTTTTGCTCTTCAAGGCGCCATGATGCAGGGCCCGCCCAGCCACGGCTACGGGTGCATTTGCGGGCTCTGACGCGTGCACCTCGATGACATCACAGGCGCCGTCGACGCCCTGCGCCACTCGGCAGAAGCGCTCGATGGGGGCACCGGCAGCAAGAGGCAGAGTCGCTCCGAGTGTGTACAGCTTGAAACGGTCAGACTGCCTGTCTCCACCATGATGTCGATTTATCACCCCTCGCAGTGGCGCCCCGCGCGGCTGACCCCCCACCACTGCCTGCACGCTGACCGCCAGCGGGAGGGAGGCGCCCGGCCACCAAGCCGCCACCATTCGAGCCTGCAGTTGTAGCTGGCGCTGATTGCCGGTTGTGCTGCTGCCGTTGGGGTTGAAACGCAGCGCCTGGGGTTGGGGCAGGGGCGCGTGTCAAACAACGTCTGCAAACTAGCTGGAGCCACTTGTCGTCCCAAACCCTGCTGCGATGAAACTCCATGGTTCAAGCAAGGAAGCGACGTGATGTGTCGGACCGCCCAAGTGTTGGGATGCTCCTCACCACTGGCCAGGAGTTTCGCTCCAGTTCCTCTGGCTTCAGAGGGCGGCGCAGACCCTGCCGACCCTTGCAGTCGACACCGCGGTCCTCCCGCTGCTCCTGCAGGCTGGACACAATCAGGTCCAGTGCGGCCGGCCCGGCTGCGCGCCGGAATGCCGTGATGCGGCAGCCCGCCAACTCAGGGAGATGCCGCAAGCCCTTCGTTAACCGATATGACTTGGTGACGTGACTGTCAAACCTGGCCCCCCAGGGGTGGCCGTCCACCTCCAGCTGCAGACTGACGTTGAGCGGCAGGGGCGCGCCGGGGAACCAGGCGGCCAGCAGCTCCGTAGGAACCCAGATTTGCGGCGCAGAGCTGCAGCGAAGGAACTGTGATGTGGGGGAAGGGCAGGATGCGCCAGGGCAGCCGCTGTCAGCCGCGCACACAGAGGCATTGTTTGCTCTGCCGTGATGGCCGAGCACGCACAGCCGAGGAAACGCGGCCATTGAGGGCAGCGCATGCACACCCCTGATCCTGCAAATGGTATGTGCCTCACCGTCTTCCAAGATGCGCCAACTTCCCCAGCACCGCCGCCGCCATGATCGCCTCCATCCGCCGCGTGATACCGCTGCGGCCGTGGCGCTGGCGGGCAGTGGCCCTCTGGGTCATCGCCCTCCTCCTCTGCCTCACTCAGCCCGCTGGCGCCAGCTTCCGAGCCGCTGCCGTTTTCACTGCCACCATCGCCGCTGCCATCGCCGGAGCCCCTGGTGTGCCCGCTCCCCCCGCTGCTGCCGTCCTCCCCCTCGTCCTCGCTGGGCGGGCCCAGCAGTTGCTCCTCCGCAGCGCAGCGCCTGATGCGCAACGCAGCTGCTCGCGCCGCCGCACGCCTTGGGGCCGCAATTGATGGTGGGGCGCGGATTGCGCCGTACTTTGAGCAGTGAGGCGTTGGGAGCTTAGACTTCTGCTTCTGAGTGGCGTCACCCTCTTCCCTGCTGCTGGGCTGAGCCTCAAGCCGCGGGCGCTTGTGCTGCGCCGGGTCACTGCTGCCGCCACTGTTGACTGCAGACTGCCACTCAGCGCATCCGACGTCCAGGCAGCGCTTGGTGCGCATGTTTACGGTGCGCTGAACAGCACTGCGGGTGAGATCACCGCGAAAATTGCTGCGCACTCTCAAGGGATCTGATTCCGTCCGTTATGTGGGTGTCTGGGGTACGATCAAAGCTGCTGATTGATAGATTTCAATAGCATGTACGTGGACGCGTTCAGGGATCACGGGTATTGCAGCCAAGCCAACCTACGGGGGGCGCTCACGCTTGTGCAGTCCGGCCCAGCGCTAGTGACAGCCTGCCGCGTCAGCACGTAGACCGCCAGCTGCTCGTTTTGGATCAGGCCTACCTTTTTCTACCTTTCTCACATGTCTCTGCGGCTGTTTGCGGGGGTCTGCGGGTGATAATGTCTGTATGGAGAATTCAACCAATGTGAAGCAAGTGCCAATGACGGAGGCTCTGCCCACCCATCACTGAGGAGCCCTAGCAAGCCTGCACGCAGTGCAGCACGGACCTTTCCAACCAGCCGCGCAGCAGGGCCGCACCTGAAGCTGGCGTGCTGGCCCCCGCAGGACACGCTTTGGTCACTAATGTGAGGAGCGTGCCGGGCAGCTCATGTGTCCGCTCTTATGCCTTTTTGCAACTTAAAACGTGCATTACACGACTGATTTGCTAAAGCAGTCATTGAAAGGCCAAGGTTTGCAACACACACTCACCCACACACGGACACGCACGCACACACACACACACACACACACGCGCGCGCACGCATCCGCATGCATGCACGCATCCGCATGCACACGCACGCACACCTGCACACACACGCGCACACAGTATAACACATACCATGTTGAGACTACTACCTGCGAATATACCAGACGAGGTGGACGACCACCGACGACATACGTTTACGACATATTGATGCCTGACACAATCACTTGCACACCAAAACAGCGCAGCTCGCCACAGCTGGATGACCAAGGGCCGAAGCCCGCACCAAGCATCAGCCACTGCGCTTCGCCATCTCTCCCATCCATGTGCGCGCCGCAGCAGCCTGCCCTGCCGCGCACGCAATCTGCAGCCGCCGGTAGGTCATGCCTAGGAACACATGGCATGCGGCCGCATCCCGCGTCGTCGCCGCTTCCACCGCGGCACACACCTTGTTCAGCTGCACGGGGCCCAGACCCAGCGCCCCTGCCGCCCTGAGTACCCCATCAAAGGCCTGTGTGGCCGCCTCCGCCAGGGCACCGTCGTCGGAGGCGGGCGGCGCGTCGACAACCGGCAGACTGGGAGACCTCAGCGCCGCCGACACTGCGTACTGGTCGAGTGCGCGGCCGCTGGCGCCGCTGCCGCTGGCTGGGGCACTGGCCTGCTGCTGCTCGGCTCCAGCCGCTGGCTCGCGTGGTGAAAGGGCCGGTGGCGCCTGCCCTGCTGGGAGCCCATCCGGCGGTGATGGAGCGCTGCCGGGGCGCTCCTCCAGAGCATGGGGCGCTGCAGCCGCGGCCGCGCCTGCCTGGCGGGCCGCGGGGGTGACACCTCCTTGCAGGCCCCCGCAGCCGATTGTCTCCACATGCGCCCCGCCTCTACTCATGTCCGCTGCTGCAGCCACCTTGTCCAAGCTGGCCACGTTTGTAGCTGCCTGCCTGCTGCCGTTGCTGGCTTCCAGAGCTGCAGAAGCTGCCGCCACCTCCTCCTCCAACACAAGCTGCTGCTTGGCTTGGAACCGTGGCTGCTGCGCGGATGCAGCCGCCGCTGCTGCCAGGTTTGCCTGCTGTCGCGGTTGCCTTGGCTGCTGCTGCTGCTGCTGCTGCTGCTGCTGCTGCTGCTGCTGCTGCTGCTGCTGCTGCTGCTGCTGCTGCTGCTGCTGCTGCTCGTCAGCCGCCTGCTTGTCCTCCCCACAAAAGCCATGTTTTGTCTCGCTCTCAAAGGCCCCATGATGCACAACCCGCCGCCGCTGCAGCGAGCGCCCGCGACTGGCGGGCTCAGCTGCTGCGACAAGACCTGTCGTGGGTTCTGACGCGTGCACCTCGATGACGTCATGTGCGCCGTCGATGCCCCGCGGCACCCGCCGGAAGCGCTTGATGGCAGCGCCAGGAGCCACAGGCAGGGTCGCCCCCGGTGTATAGACCCGGAAACGGTCAGACCCTGAGCCCTGAGGGAATCGATACACCACCCCCTGCAGCGGCGCCCCGCGCGGCTGACCCCCCACCACTGCCTGCACACTGACTTTCAGCGGGAAGTCTGCACCGGGCCAAGAAATTGCTGCCATGCAGGCTGGCAGCTGGACCGAGCTTCGAGCTTTGCTGCCGTTGCTGTTATCGTTGTTGGGATTGAAATGCTGTGCCTGGGGTTGGAGGAGGGTAGCACGTCGGATTGTCAACCCAACCAAGGTCAAGGTACTGTTGCTCCAGATCTCCCGCCCTCCTACAAATGCACAGAGCTACTCGAAAGTGCAAGCGGTGTAGGTCACTTTTCATAGGTCTTCGACCATTCAATCATACAAATGTGCGCGTGCTCCTCACCACAGGCCATGAGTTTGGCTCCATGTCCTCCGGCTCCCACGGGCGGCGCAGACACTGCTGACCCTTGCCGTCCTCACCGCCGTCCTCCCGCTGCTCCTGCAGGCTGGACATAATCAGGTCCAGTGCGGCCGGCCCGGCTGCGCGCCGGAACGCCGTGACGCGGCAGCCTGTCAGCTCAGCGGCTTGCCGCAAGCCCTTCGTTAACCGATATGACTTGGTGACGTGACTGTCAAACCTGGCCCCCCAGGGGTGGCCGTCCACCTCCAGCTGCAGACTGACGTTGAGCGGCAGGGGCGCGCCGGGGAACCACTTGGCCAGCAGCGCCTTGGTAACTTCAACTTCGGGCTTTGAGCAGTCGAAGAGCTGGAACTGTGTTGTGAGAGGTCACGATGTGCAATGGCGGCCGTTGTCCGCCGCAGAAACCAACAAATCAGGGCCATCACAAAGCAGAGGGGGCCATGCGGCCGACAAGGGCCGGACGTGCGGACGGCGGTTCGCACGATCGGCGTGCCGCTCACTGTTCGCCAAAGGGCGCCCGCTTCGCGAGCACCGTCGCCGCCATGACCGCCCCCATCCGCCGCGTGATACCGCTGCAGCCGTGGCGCTGGCGGGCAGCGGCCCTCTGGGTCATCGCCCTCCTCCTCTGCCTCACTCAGCCCGCTGGCGCCAGCTTCCGAGCCTCTGCCGTTTTCACTGTCACCATCGCTGCTGCCATCGCCGGAGCCCCAGGTGTGCCCGCTCCCCCCGCTGCTGCCGTCCTCCCCCTCGTCCTCGCTGGGCGGGCCCAGCAGTTGCTCCTCCGCAGCGCAGCGCCTGATGCGCAACGCAGCTGCTCGCGCCGCCGCACGCCTTGGGGCCGCAATGGATGGTGGGGCGCGAATTGCGCCGTAATTTAAGCAGTGAGGCGTTGGGAGCTTAGACTTCTGCTTCTGAGTGGCGTCACCCTCTTCCCTGCTGCTGGGCTGAGCCTCAAGCCGCGGGCGCTTGTGCTGCGCCGGGTCACTGCTGCCGCCACTGTTGACTGCAGACTGCCACTCAGCGCATCCAACGTCCAGGCAGCGCTTGGTGCGCATGTTTACGGTGCGCTGAACAGCACTGCGGGTGGGATCACCGCGAAAATTGCTGCGCACTCTCAAGGGATCTGATTCCGTCCGTCGGGTGGCTGTCTGCGGTAAAATCAAAGACGCTGATGGATGGAACCTGATAGCATATGCATTTCAACGTTAGGGGTTCACGGCCATTGCAGCAGAGCCGACCAATGGGCGCTCGCGCTGTGACAGTCCGGCCAAAGCGCTGGTGACAGCTTCCTGCGTCAGCATGTACACCGCCAGCTGCTCGTCTTGGACCAGGTACTTCTATAATGGGGTATGTTTGCAGGTGATTATGTTTGCATGCTAGGCAGTTTTGATGAATGTGCGAGCACGCACACCACAAGGGGTAGGCAGCCGCATCCCAGCCAGTAATAAGGAGCCCTAGCAGACCAACCCGGCCATTACCCTTCCCACTAGCTGTGCACTTACATGCATGAACGCATGCACAGACGATTGCAGAAGATAGAACAAACTGTAACCAGAATCTGAAACCAACTTTCTGCCAAGTATCAACGGTCAACACATCCACCGCCGATGCCACTGTCCACAACCAACCAAGGCTCTGCTCACACGCCGCCACGCTCCGCCATCTCTCCCATCCAAGCGCGCGCTGCAGCGGCCTGCCCCGAAGCGCACGCCATCTGCAGCCGCCGGTAGGTGATGCCCAGGAAAACATGGCTCGCGGCCGCATCCCGCGTTGTTGCTGCCTCCACCGCGGTGCACACTTCGTACAGCTGCTCGGGGCCCAGGCCCAGCGCCCCTGCCGCCCTGACTACCCCATCAAAGGCCTGAGTGGCCGCCTCCGCCGCGGCGCCGCTACCGGAGACGGGCGGCGCGGCGATGCGCGGCAGGCCGAGGGCGATGAGCGCCGCCGACGCCGTGCCCTCGTTGGGTGCGCGGTTGTCCGCGCCGTTAATGCTGGCAGGGGCGCCACCGGCCTGCTGCTGCAGAGTCACAGCCGCCGGCATGGGTGGTACAAGAGCTGGTGGCGCCTGGCCTGCAAGCCCATCGGGCGCTGATGGGGCACTGCCGGGGCGCTCCTCCAGAGCACGGGGCGCTGCAGCCGCGGCCGCGCCTGTCATGCGGGCCGAGGGAGTTGTACGTCCTTGCAGGCCGCCACAGCCGCACGCCTCCGTCTGCGCCCCTCTCCTGCTCATGTCCACGGCTGCAGCTGCCGTCTTGTCCGCGCTTGCCGTGTTTGCAGCTGTCTGCCTGCTGCCGTTGCCGGTTTTGACAGCCACTGAAGCTGCCGCCACCTCCTGTTCCAACACGAGCTGCTGCTTGATCCAGAACCGTGGCTGCCGCTCTGGTGCAGCTGCCGCCGCTTGCAAGTGTGCCTGCTGTTGCTGCTGCCGCTGCTGCTGCGGCTGCTGCCGCTGCTGCTGCAGCTGCTGCTGCGGCTGCGGCTGCTGCTGCTGCTGCCGCTGCTGCCGCTGCTGCTGCCGTTGCTGCTGCCGCTGCTGCTGCTGCTGCTCGTGCACCACCCGCTCATCCTCCTCACAACACCTGCGTCCTGTTTCGCTCTTCAAGCGCCCACGACGCGGCACGAGCCGCTGCCGGGGCGGACGCCTGCGGCTGGTGGGCCCAGCTGCTGCGACGGGCGCATTTGCGTGTGCTGACGCGTGCACCTCGATGACGTCATCGACGCCGTCGATGCCCCGCGCCACCAGCCGGAAGCGCTTAATGGCGGCGCCGGGAGCCAGAGGCAGGGTCGCCGCGGCTGTGTAGAGCCTGAAACGGGCGCGATGTGTTTCCCCATGAAATCGACTCACCACCCCCTGCAGTGGTGCGCCGCGTGGCTGACCGTCCACCACCGCCTGCACACTGACCCTCAGCGGGAGGGAGGCGCCCGGCCACCAAGCCGCCACCATGCCGGCCTGCAGCTGTATCTGGCGTTGAGCGCCGACTGGCCTGCTGCTGTCAGGGTTGTAATGCAGCGCCTGAGGTTGGAGGAAGGCAGCACGCCAGATTTCGAATGCAACCTGAGTGGAGGCACCGTTGTTGCCCACCCCCTACCCTCCTTCAAGCAATCTGACAGCGTAATGCAGCAACGCAAGCGCTGCAAGTTTCTTACCGCCCGAGAGTCAGCTCGCTCCTCACCACAGGCCACGAGTTCGCCTCCAGGTCTTCTTGCTCCATGGGGCGGCGCAGACGCTGGTGACCCCTGCAGTCGCCACCGCCGTCCTCCCGCTGCTCCTGCAGGCTGGACACAATCAGGTCCAGCGCGGCCGTCCCGAGTGCGCGCCGGAACGCCGTGATGCGGCAGCCCATCAGCTCAGAGAAACGGTGCAGGCCCGTATTTATGATATGTGAAGCGTTGACTCGGCTGTCAAAGCGCGGCCCCCAGGGGTGGCCGTCCACCTCCAGCTGCAGGCTGACGTCGAGCGGCAGATGCGCGCCGGGGAACCAGGCGGCCAGCAGCTGTCTAGGAACCCAGATTTGCGGCTTTTGACTGCTGAGGGATAGGAACTGCGGTATGGGAGAGGGGCAGGATGCGCCACTGCAGCCGTTGTCCGCCGCACAAACACATGTGCTGTGGCCAGATTGCTGCGCTGTCCACATGTGTTCGTGGGAGGGGGGGGGATGCCGCCGGCAAGGGTCACACGTATGCATTGTTGTTCCTTCAATCGGCATGTCGCTCACCGTCTTCCAAAGGGCGCCAACTTTGCCAGGACCGCCGCCGCCGCCACCGCTGCCCCCGACATCCAGTGCGTGATGCCGCTGCTGCCGTGGCGCCGGCGGGCCGCGGCCTTTGGCGTCACCACTCCCCTCCTCCTCCTCACTCCGCCCGCTTGAGCCCGGTGTAGAGTTGCTGCTGTCATCGCTACTGCCGTCGCCGGAGCCTATGGTGTGCCCGCTCCCTCCGCTGCTACAGTCCTGCTCGTCCCTGCTGGGTGGGGCCAACAGTTGCTCGTCAGCAGTGCAACGCCTGATGCGTGCAGCAGCCGTCCGCGCCGCCGCACGCTGCGGAGGCGCAACTGACGGTGTGGCGCGGATTGCGCCGGCTTCTGAACAGTGGTGAGGTGGGAGAGTAGGTGTCTGCTCCTGGGTGGCTTCAACCTGTTCGCTGCTGGTGGGCTGCGCCTCACGCCGCGGGCGCTTGTGCTGCACCGCGTCACTGCTGCCTCCACTGTCGCCTGCCCACTGCCATTGAGCGCATCCTACGTCCAGGCAGCGCTTGCTGCGCATGTCTGCGTGCGCTGCACAGCACTGCGTGAGGGATCACCGCGAAAACTGCTGCGCGCTATCCCGGGATCTGATTCCGTCCGTCGTGTAGGTGTCTGCGGTACAATCGAAGCTGCTGTCTGAAGAAATCTGATGGCATATACGTGGCCACGTTCGGGGGTCACGGGCATTGCAGCAGAGCCGACCTATGGCGCTTGTGCAGTCCGGGCGTGCTGGTGACAGCCTTCCGCGTCAGCATGCAGACCACCAGCTGCTCGCGTTGGATCAAGTACTTATAGAATGGGAACATTTCTACTTCTTTCACACTTCTCTGTGCTTGTTTGCGGGCGTTTGCGGGTGAGGATGTTCGCATGTATTACAGGGAGTAGGCAACTATGTAAGCACGCAAGCCTCAAAGGGGCATGAGCAGCCGCCCGCCCAGTGCCGAAGGCAGGAGCCCTAGGGCCCGTCGCGCTAGGCAGCTCATACCATTCAAATTAGCTCAGCACGCACCAGGGCCACACCTGGCGCTCGCGTGTTGGCACCGCAGCCCATGCTTCAGATACCATAGCTAAGCTGATTGGCACGTGCGTGTCCGCTCTGCCGCCTGAGAGTAACTCAAAACAAACTCTACACGGCTGCCTCGAATTGCCAGGATTTTGACAACACACACACAGACACACACACACACGCACGCGCGCACACGCACACGCACACAAACACACACACACACACACACACACACACACACACGCGCGCGCGCGCGCGCGCACGCGCACGCGCGCACGCGCACGAGCATGCGCGCGCATGCGCGCGCACATGCATGCATGCATGCACGCACAAAGCGCACGTATCGAAAGCCACTAACAATCAAACATCAGTGATAACCCCCCTGCTAATGACCACTACCCACCAAGCGGCTGCTCACACACGGCCGCAATCCGCCATCTCCTTCATCCAGGCGCGCGCATCAGCGGCCTGCCCTGCCGCGCACGCCATCTGCAGCCGCCGGTAGGTCATGCCCAGGAACACGTGGCATGTGGGCGCATCCCGTGTTGTCGCCGCCTCCACCGCCCTGCATATCGCGCCCAGCTGCCCAGGGCCCAGACACAGCGCCTCTGCCGCCCTTACTACGCTGTCAAAGGCCTGAGTGGCCGCCTCCGCCAGCGCGCCGCTATCGGAGACGGGCGGCGCGGCGATGACAGGCAAGCCGAGAGACATAAGCGCCGCCGACGTCGCATGCTCGTTCGATGCACGGCCGCTTGCGCCGCTGCCCCTGACAGGGTCACCTCCAGCCTGCTGCTGCTGAGCCACAGCTGCCGCTGTGGTTACTGGGAGGGCTGGTGGCGCCTGCCTGGCGGACCCATTGGGTTGTGACGGGGCGCTGCCGGGGCGCTCCTCCACAGCATGGGGCCCTGCGGCTGCGGCCCCACCTGCAGGGCGGGCCGAGGGGCTCGTGGGTCCCTGCACGCCGCCACAGCAGTAGGCCTCCATCTGCGCCCCTCCTCTGCCCATGTCCACGGCTGCAGCTGTCATCTTGTCCGAGCTGGCCATGTCTGCAGCCGTCTGCGTGCTGCCATTGCCGGCTTTCCAAGCCGCCGAACCTGCCGCCACCTCCTCCTCCATTACCAGTTGCTGCTTGGTTTGCAACTGTGGCAGCAGATTAGGTGCAGCTGCCTGTGCGGCCAGTCCCGGCTGCTGCTGCTGCTGCTGCTGCTGCTGCTGCTGCCGCTGCTGCTGCTGCTGCCGCTGCTGCTGCTGCTGCTGCTGCTGCTGCTGCTGCTGCTGCTGCTGCTGCGGCGCCGACCTCGGCTGCTGCTGCTGCCCCGGCTGATGTTGCCTTGGCCGCTCCTGCCGCGGCTGCTGCTGCAGCATCATTGGCTCTCTTTGCTCTGCCCTCTCCCTTTCGCCAGTTGCAATGTCCTGGTGCATGCTGCATTGCTCCTCCACCCCCTCCTCCTGCAGTTGGTCATCGTGCACCGTCTGCTCGTCCTCTTCACAACAGTGTGCTTTCTCGCTCTCCAAGGCCCCATGATGCAGGGGTCGCCGGCGCTGCTGCGGGCGCCGGCGGCTGGCAGGCGCAGCCGCGGCGACGGGCGCATTTGCGTGTGCTGACGCGTGCACCTCGATGACGTCATCGGCGCCGTCGACGCCTCCCGCCACCAGCCGGAAGCGCTCGATGGCGGCGCCAGCAGCAAGAGGCAGGGTCGCCGCGGCTGTGCAGAGCAGGAAGCGGGCAGACCGCGCGCCTCTTCCGTCAACTTGATACACCACCCCCCGCAGGGCCGTCCCGCACGGCTGATCGCCCAGCACTGCTTGAATGCTAACTCTCAGTGGGAAGTCTTTGCCACGCCAACATTCTGCTGCCATACGAGTCGGCAGCTGTATTCGGAGTCGACCGCTGCTGCTGTTTTTTGGGTTGAACCGCTGCGCCTGGGGTTGAAGGATGGTAGCGTCTGGTGTTTCAGTGATGAGGACGCCCAGTCATCCCGAGCCTTCTGCCCTCCTACATTTGCACATGATTGATGAGAACCAGCGGCAGGGAATATTTGACCCATTTCGACCGAGTGTCGGCACGTCCCTCACCACGGGCCAGAAGTCTGGCTGCAGGTCCTCTGGCTCCACAGGGCGCCGAAGACGCTGCGGACCCTTGCAGTCGCCACCGCCGTCCTCCTGTTGCTCCTGCAGGCTGGAAACTATCAGGTCCACCGCAGCCGGCCCCGCTGCGCGCCGGAACGCCGTGACGCGACAGCCCGCCAGCTCGGAACATCGCCCCAGGCCCTTCGTCGCCCGATATGCTGTGTACATACGGCTCCCCTTCACCTGATGTGACTCGTACACACGGCTGTTGAAGCGCGGCCCCCAGGGGTGACCGTCCACCTCCAGCTGCAGGCTGACGTCAAGCGGCAGGGGCGCGCCGGGGAACCAGGCGGCCAGCAGTCCCTTGGGAACCCAGACTTCTGGCTTGGGCCAACTGGGGAGCTGGAGCTGCAATGCAGGGGAGGTCAGGATGGGCCAGGGTATAGCTGGTCCATCGCACAAACGAAAGCATTGTTGATGTTAGTTGAAGGACATGGCAGCAGGGGCCCCGCTGCCAAAAGGGCCACGCGTGTGCGCAACTGTTCATGGCACGCCCCTCACCGTCTTCCAAATGGCGCCAACTGCCCCGCCACCACTGCCGCCGCCTCCACTTGGGGCGTAATGCTGCTGCTGCCGCGGTGCTGGCGGGCCGCCTCCATCTGGGTCGTCACCCTCCTGCTCCTTTGCATCACTCGTCCCTCTGGCGCCGGGATCACAGCCGCCGCTGGCATCGCTGCCACCATCGCTGCTGCCACCGCCGGAGCCCATGGTGTGGCCGCACCCTCCGCTGCTGCCGTCCTCTGCCTCGTCCTCGCCGGGTGGGTCCAGCAGTTGCTCGTCCGCAGCGCAACGCCTGATGCGCGCGGCGGCAGCCCGCGCCGCCGCACGCTGCGGTGGCGCAACTGATGGTGGGGCACGGCTTACATTGCTTTTTGAGCGATGAGGAGTAGGGAGCTTAGGTGTGTTCTCCCGGGTGGCTTCAAGCTCTTCGCTGCTGCTGGGCTCCTCCTCAAGGCGCAAGCGCTTGTGCTGCGCCGCTTCATTGCTCCCGCTACTGTTGCCTGCACACTGCCATTGAGTACAACCTACGTCCAGGCAGCGCTTGCTGCGCATGAATGCATGCGTTGGACAGCACTGCGAGTGGAGTGAAGAGCTCCGCGCTGTTTCGGGATCTGATACCGTAACTTCAATGTGGGTACGATCGAAGCTGCGGTACGGTCAAAGCTGCTGATTGATAGAACCAGATATCATATATATGACCACGACAGAGGGTAAAGGGCATTGCAGCAAAAGCGCCCTAGGTATGGGCGCTCACGCTTGTGCAGGACGGCTGACTCGGCAATCTGCAGCCGCCTGTAGTTGATGCCTGCGAACGCATTGCATGCGGCCGGCTCCCGCGTCGTTGCCGCCTCAAGTACATTTCAAAACATGAAACGCGGTGACTGCGTCCATCAGCTTGGGGCCCAGGCCCAGGCCTGGGCCCGGGCCCAGCGCCTGTGCCGCCGTGACTATTCCGTCAAAAGCCCGCCTGCAAATCTTCTGCAGCAGGACGATCCGTCGCACTTTGCAGCACAGCATTGCATTGCAGGCCAAGGAGACCATCACCGCTGATGCCTCTTTGCTTATTGCGCGGCCGCCTCTGCCTGCCGTGCGCTGGTTTGTCCCTGCGCGGCCCCTGCTGCTGCTGCTGACTCATCTGGCGGCGCACACTCCAATGATGCCAGTGTCATCGAGGGGTGGGGGGGTGACACTGGCGCCTGTGGCACGACAAGCGGGGAAGAAGCAACGAGAGGCCGAATGCTATTGTATCCGCTTCTGCCACAATCGTTTCTGCCTGCATTTCGATGCCGGATGATGTCATTGCCCCCCCCCCTCCAGACGTACCTCCCTGTTTGTAGCTCATGATACCCAGGGGCAGGTCCTGTTGGCAGCTCCTGTGCAGCTGCTTCAGCTGGCGCTTGCGGCGGCAGACCTGCAGCCCTTCTTTTGCGGCCAAAGCCTGGACACTAGTAAATTCGCTGCCATCGAGGGACGTTGCCTACACGTCATAACACACATGGTTCACACAAAAGTATCAAGTTTTCCAAGTGCACCAAGCAATACGCCTGGTCAAGCCGGTCCCACCGGGCACTGGACCAATTAATAGAGGGCAACACTCAAAATTTTGCAGACTGCAGCCGCCTGAAGCAAGTGGCACACGGTTACAGCGCAAAGCCCTTAGTCATGATGCAGCGGGCCTGCTGCCTGGCCGGATCACGTCGCGGCCGCAGGCAGCGCCCAGCCCTCCGGCCTGCCGCCGGCGGAGGCATATTCAGGGTAAGACGACCGGTACCCCAGCAGCCGCGCCAGCGGCGCCACGACATGCACCATCGCCCGCCATACAGGCCGGGGCACGAACGCAAACTCAACGTTGTGGTCTGCAAACAGCAGCACCATCTGCAGCAGTGGGGGTTTGTCGGTGCCGCCGGCGTCGGCGCAGATGCCGGCGAGGTTCTCAAAGAAGACGTCGGCGGTGCCGCAGGGAGAAAGGGTGTAGCGGATGACAAGCTCTGAGGGCGTGGATGGGTCTTCTGCCTCGGCGGCGTTGAACACAGTGTGGGGGACGCCTGGCGGGCGGGGAGCATGCGGGTGCGGGTGCGCGGGGCGGTTGGGGGGGGGGTTGGTGCGTCAG